GGGTCCATACCATTTTAATTGTTTTTCGGCTATCGTATCCATTATTGTGTTCTTTACTTTCATTCTCTCTCTTATGTTTTCATTTCTTATGTGGTCAAACAAAGTTAACCCGGAACATCTTCTCCAGTACATCATTTCCGTTGAGAGGAGTTTTTGTGACATATTATTGTTAAAGACCCACACTTCTGACCCATACGTCAGCACCGGCTGAATCATAGCCTGATATATATTTTTCTTTGTTTTCTTAGTTAAAGTTTTATTCCACAGGATCGGATGTAGTGTTTTTATCATGTTTTTTCCTTTTCCTATTTTTCTTGTTATATCTTTGTCGTCTCTCCCGTCTTCGCTTAGTGTAACTCCGAGATATTCGTACTGATCAACGTTTTTAATTAATCCGCTTTCTGTTTCCATGTCTTGACCGATGCCTCCTATATTCATGTATTGTGTCTTTTCGGTATTAACCTCTATTCCCCATTTTTTGAATTCGTCTATTAGTTTGTTTATCATGTACGTCATATCTTGTAGGTCCTCGGCAAGAACTACCTGGTCGTCTGCGAAGAGGATTGTGTATATAGGAGTGTCATTTACCCATATGTACATTGGGTTGCATTTTCTCGTAAATCGTCTTCACTTTGAAAGAATAGTATTGCGTTGTCTGCATATGATTATTTTAAGTTGTTTTTCTCTTATTTGGTATCCTTTTTTAGTTCTTACTTTTTTATTATTTCATTCATAATCAGGTTGAACAATAGAGGACTTAGGAATTCTCCCTATCATATCCCATTGCCAGCTTCAATGGGGTCGGTTAGTTCTTCTTCTACTTTAATTGTGTTGTTTTGGTTGTGATATTTTCGATTGTTTTAAATATTCCTATCTCTCTTGCGTACAATATTTGTATACCGTACATTAGTTATACCCGGTCAAATAATGACTTCTTAAGATCCACGAAACATAGATATGCCGGTTTGTTGGATTCTAATTATTTCTCTTGCACTTGCCTCATTATAAATATAGCGTCGGTGCATGATCTTCTCGACCTAAAACCTTGTTGTTCTTCTATTAGTGTTTTAATTTCATTCTGTTTGTTTGTTATCACTTTGGTTGTTAATTTTAATATTGTGTTTAATAAATTAATTCCTCTTTAATTTTCCGGGTCCGATTTGTCTCCTTTTTTGAAGAGAGGTATTAGGATGCTTGATCTCCATTATTCGTCCTCTCCTGATGATTTTCTATTATTAAATTTCCTTCATGCTTCCTTTACCTCTTCCTCCTCAATATTTATTTCTTTATTTGTCGTCACCTGCGGTATTAATAGAAAATAGATTTGCCTATTCTATTTGTGAGGGTGCCAAAACTACCATGTCGGGTCAGAAACTGCGTCAGAACGTAGTCCAGTTTCCTAAGTTAACATTCCCACCACGGACGCAGATCGGGTACAAGCTTCTTCGTCCATCTTGCCTTTCCGCTATCATTCGCCCATTCCCTCTGCCACTCCTCTATCGTTTCCTCTCTCTTCCTCGTCTATATTTTTATTCATCCTCCTCGCATACACCCTCGCTCGCTCTTTGCACAAAAAAAAACAATCGGTATCACAGAACCAACGAAGATACCAACAAAACGAAACAGATGCTAAGGGTTGCCGAAATGAAAAGCCCTAAGAACAATAATGGGGAAAACAAGAAGAGACAGAGTGAGAAATACAAACATTAGAGAGCAGTGCAAAATTCAAGATATTGTAAGATGGGGAAGGCAGCGCAAGAGGATGTGGTACAACCATGTAAGATGAATGGATGAGAATAGACTCCCAAAAATTGCCCTAGAAAACAATCCGCCCGGTTCAAGACCCCCCGGAAGACCACCTAAAAGATGGAGGGATAGTTGGTAATCTTCCTCGCAAGAAATTAACCAGAGGCAGCTTCAGAATTAAACAGATCGAAAGATCTACAAAAAGTAGAAGAAGAAGAAGAAGGTATCACCGCTCCTATGACATACATAATCTCATTTGAGGCCGCACTCTAGACGCTAGATACCCTGAGAAGTATTCGCCTTTGCAAAGTCTCCATCAGCTTGGCGTATTTTGTAGTGTTCAGGACGCTGCACCAGATAGAGGCAGCGTAGATCAAAACCTACTGAAAAACTCGTTCTTTTGGTGCTACCTGGGCCTCCAATGTACGGTAATAGCCGTACCAACGCCTCCAGACTTCTGTTTGCCTTCTCTATCGTCTTTTGTGTACTCCGTACCTCAGTCCTTCCGACAGCTAGACTGCGAGATGCATAACCGATTTAATCGGTGCAACCTCCAATTCTTCCACTATAAAGCGAACTTTCCCAGCTACCTTTGAGAACTACCACCTCATTGTCTGAGGTGTTAGCGGTAAATCGTAGAGTGGAAGCAAATTGTAACGAAAACCAAGTACAATAAACTCTAACAATGCAAAAGAAGAATGCACAATGATTCACCGCAATAAGCGAATCTGCGAGCTCTAAGTAAGAGCGACAAATATTCCATCAGGAATGAAAGGCCTTGGTGATGATGAGTGTTTTGACTGTTTTTTTAACTTACGTCCGAATTATTTCTATCTTGTTGACAGAACATTCGAAACTGCTATCGCCAGAAAGTTTGATTAATAAATTATTTGATGTTATAAACAGTTCGTCTAATGTGTTTGAATATACGTTTTCGTTGATCTCGACATTTTTGTGGTCATATCTCGACGCCAAATATTGCTTCCCTCGTATACCTAGCCCCATACGTCATCCAAATTGATTATTGCTTAGATTTTTTGTTAAATAGTAGTGTTAAGTATTGAAGATTTTCTTCATTGACAAGATTTATCATCTCTAAATATATCTCATCTGGGCCTGAGGTCTTTCGTGGCTTTGCCGTATTGATTGTTTTTGTAACTTCCGATGTTAATATATCAAGTATTGTGTCTTGTACTATATTCATTTGTGGTTCTGTTCTCTTGTCATCAAACAGATCTTCTATGTATTTTTCCCATATATTTCCTACATTTTCTGGGCTAGATACTATTTGGTTTGTTATGTTGTACTAGAGTTGTTGTAGTCAATTTTTTCTTCATATTTGTGACTTCCTTAATTTTTGTAGGCATTGAAGTAGTCATGTTTTTTTAGTAATTCCCTCAGTTTCTCACATCTGCTGTTCATCCATTCTTCTTTGGCTTTCCTGATTTTGTTTCGAATGTTTCTCTGGGTTTCTTCATATTTTACTTCATTGCGGTTTTTGTAAGATCTTCTTACGTCCATCAGTTCCAAGATTTCTTCTGCCATCCATGTATTCTTTGTTTTTCTTGTGTTTAGTATTGTTGTTGTTCGGTTTAAACCATTGTTTAATGTGAATATGATGTAGTCGTTATAGAGGAGAACGAAAATCATCTACAAATTCTAATACAATAAATTAATGATTATATCAAAATCATATAATTTAGTAATATCTGTTAAAAAAAATTATTTTTATTATAACACCAGAAACACATATCATGAACAATAACAAATAATATGAAAAAAATTTAGGTTAATAGATATGCCGGAAATAAAATATGAAATAAAACGACAATTCAAATAAGATCGTCAGTTACAGCTATAAACGCAACCATCAAAGATTAACTAAACGTTGGACATTTGAAAAAACGTAAAAACTAAATAAATATAGACAACAGAAGTGAGAACATTACGCAAATAATTATAAAAACGCTAAGGGATAAGGGAAGAAGAAAAAATAGAGTTGCAGAGCTACAATTAAACTTTAAAGCGTAAATGACTATAAATTGGGTATAATTCTACAAATAATAGAATGAGCACATCAGCAGAAAGGGCGGTAAAAGGTAGTGAGGGTGGCGCGAAAGAAATCTCCGAAAAAAATAAACAGATGAAAGGGCATTTAAACAACGGCTTTTAAAAAAAATACAGCAAAAATGTATCGTTTTTAGAGTAGATAACATGCATTAAGTGTGAAATTAAATGTAACAATATTAATTAATGTACACTTATTAGTTTATTGAAATTACTAATAGGAATATTAAACTATTTTCTTGTGGTATGTGTTATATTTGTTGCCATATTTTCTCGGAATAATCCGCATGAATAATAATTATTAAATTTACATATTTTTGATGTTTCGACTTGCCAGTCCGGAAATCGTTTTAAAAAAGTATTTTAAATATAAAAATAATATTACCTATAAATACTAAGTTTATATGGACAATAATTAACATAAAAACAATATTTATTTGTTATATTATGTTATATTTATATAAATTTATTTGAAAACAATTTCCGGACTGGTAGTATAAAAGTCAAAATATTATGTCATTTTAATAAAATTTACTGTGTTATTCCCAAGAAATATACTATTCAATCCAAAAAGAAAATTAAAAAATAAACATCTGTATGTATTTAGAGTATTTTTGCATTTTCCTCGTATATATAACATAACAATAGTCACAATATATCTGAATAAAACTTTATTAATATAATGCTGCAGTATTAACATACTAATATTTTTTTGTTTTTATTTTGTCTTCCGGGTATTGTACAAAACAGCACATGGTTTTTTGAATGCTCATGCAGTTTGTAATCCTGCCAAGTGCAGAGATGAAAAGTTTGAAAGGGTGCAGTAAATCAGCGAAGAGTCTCCGGGGCGAGCGGGTAAAAAGTTTGATTTTGACAAAAAGGCAAATAAGGCTTCGTAAAAGTAATAAGCGATGGCGTATGGGGTAGTTTGATGTCGTATGTGGTTTACAAATGGTCGTACTACCCTATGGCAGCCGTTGAGCAGCTGCTTTTGCCTAGCGCGTCCCTCATATTAAAGCGGACACGCCGGGTGGCTGCCCATTCGAGGGTAGCGAGCGCGCGAGTGTAGAAGTTAATCTAAGCAGTTTTAAACAAGTACACGTTCTTTTCGTATTCGTATTGTGGAACACAGAACTTTGGCGGAAGCACTACATAGTACCCCTTAGAGCGCCCCCTCCATAAAGTATACGCTACCGTACCACACGGTTGAGTTGAGCCGACGTCCAACGTGAAGTTTATGTTTAAGCTCAGTCAGTCTGTATTCACCGCTCGAGAGTTGTGTAACCGAAACTCTCATTTCTGGATATACGTGTGCTGTGTTGTGCATTGCCGTTATGGGGTGTTTTAAAGAATATTAAATTTTAACAAACGTTTTTGCATGTGCTGTGCCTATGTGGATTTTTTAAAGTGTGTGGGCGACGAATATTGTCGTTGTCCAATTGTGTTTTTAGTGATTTTTATTTCATAATAGCCTATGGCGCGGTGTTGCAGATTACCCCTGAGGTAACAGCATTAGGAGGCTGCTGATACCACCTATTCAGGAGACAGCTTATTTAACTCAAGAATCAACAACATGTCTTGGATATTATTCACTCTACTTGGGCTTTTAGCCTTTCACCAGGTAAGTGTTACCGGTAGTTTTAGATAGGCGATAAATTTTTTAAAAAAGTTTTTTCGCGGTTTTGATCAATTCGAGATAGTGAAATCTTGCGTATAGCCAATGTCTCGAACTCTTCTTCGGGAAACTTAGAGTAACTAATTTTTGATAATCTCGCTTCGCGCACTTTCCAAAAATTCTAACTAACAATGAAACAAATTTTTAGTTTAATCATTTTCAAATTGAATTTAAAACAACGCGGCCTTTTTCTAAAATCAAATATATATACAAGCTATTCTTCCTTAGGCCCAGTCATCAGGAGTTTTTGAGTTACGATTGATTTCTTTCGACAATGAAGCCGGCAAAAATGATTTAGGAACGTGTTGTACTGGAAAATCTCGACCAAATTCAGAATGTGACGGATTTTGCCGACCTAGATTTAGGGTTTGTCTGAAGGAATACCAAGTTAAAATTGACACGACATCCAAATGCACTTTTGGTGATAAGATAACACCTGAATTAGGTCCCAATCCTGTTACGGATACACCACAGAATGGGTTTTCTAATCCCATAGCCTTACCATTCCCATTTACATGGCCGGTAAGTTTGTTTTTAATATGTAGTTAATGGGATATGAAACATTTTTACTTTCAATAGCTTAATCAGAAATTGTGAGTCGGATGATTTAATCAAATCTACTTTGAAGTCAAATTTCAAAAGAAAATATTTAGTACATTGCGTTAAATATCAAGAATACCTGGTTAACTAATCATGATGTTACCACCTGCCCCTACTCGACAGTGATGCGGGCCGGTCTTTAAACTTTGAAGAGAGAAAACGCGTAATTTAATTTCTTCTTACTGTCTCTATTTTTAACATTACATATCAGTCAATCTCTTAATAACAAATACTTAAGTAAGTTAAACTCTTAAAGCCGAAAATAAAAATACGCTATAAGGAATGCCTTCTTGTTCTGTACCCGATCGTACCGAAGTGTCTGAATTCTTGCAGAGAGTGTACATTATCCGCGGAGAGATTTTAAAGTATCTTGGACTGTCTCGAAGCAGGTATCAGCCGTGGGAAATAAACTGCACAATTCCAAAATTAATTAGGTACCCATTAAAGATTTATTTATTAAATAACAATGTATCATATTACTTTTGTATTGTTAAAACATTCTTGAATTAATATGATATGCTACGTTTGTTTCATTAATTGAGGTAAAAGTTCGGTAAAATATTTAGAATGAAAATAATTGTTGCGTTAGTATGGGTAATTTAAGCAGAACTATTTTCCTGATGTAATTGGAAAGCGTGACAGTTTGGTATATTATTTTAGAGAGGATACTTCCTCATGTAGAAATACCATATTCATAGTTTAATGGTTTTATTATCGAAAGTGATAATAAAATGTCTTATTACATATTGTCGCTTAATACCAGAACTAAGTAACTGTTTTTTGATAATTTCTAGTAATCTATAAAACTAATTTTACTTGTAGCGTGTCATTAAATAATTGATGTAACAACTTTCAGATTTGCTCAGTGTGTGCAGTCCTATTTATATATTAACACAATTCGGGTGCTATATGATCTCTTAAATCAGAATTGCGACAATTTTTAAAATCCCTATTTCTTCAGTTAGTTATAATATCCGCGGTAAAAAACTAAGACAGTATTTTCCCACAATTCTCTGTGCATTAAGTATAAACATCAAGAGAAAGATGCATACTTAACCGGTTTTATTATTACTACGGTTAGAATTAAACCTCCAACCTCCGTTCTTGCGCAGACTCATTTCTTAACCTCTTCACTCAGTAGATATAGACTGGAATAAATCGTGAACCACTCTGTGAAAATCGTTCGCCGAGATTTTACTATTAATTACAAAGCATCGGTTCATCGTGTTTAATTTTTATTTTTGCTGGACTTTATTATATTAAGTCTTCAAGACTTGGTGTTTAATCTTCCCATGGCCTTCTTCTCTTTTGTTATCGAAGATTTATTGCTGTTTATCCAATCTACAGAGTGTACGACATAAAAGCAGCGCTACTATCATAAAAAGTCAAAATTAAAATTTATATCCCTTTGCTCCTAAAATAAACTTCAGTCCTTACTGCATACATACCAGCAAACCATAAAAAGTATGTGAGAGGGAGGTCTAATGTATCAAATAAAGATGCTGGTACAACTTCCAAACATGTTGTTCTGCAAAATATGTTTAAAACGGACAGAAACTACATTCATGTATTATTTTTCAACCTAAAACTAATTTTGGTTCAGATTGTCTGGAAGATTAGTAAACAAAACAAACAGCATTATTCAACAAACTATCAACCGTTCGCTTGTTTTGTATTTTTAGTTTTTAACAGATCTCTACACAATGCAGGAAAATCCGTCTTTTTAAAATTCATTATATGACATTACAAAATATCCGGCTATTTAATGAAATTGTTTATCTACTACTAGTACTAATATTGATTAAAAAAATTGCAATTAATAATAAAACATAAAAGAATTACAAATAATTTTAAATCGTTTTGTATCATTTTTATAGTTGACAAATGGCATTTCAAATTCTATCGCTATTCTATACTATTAAAAAATGGTAGTTCATAAATAAATAGTACAATTGCTGTGTTGTTTGCATAAAAACAAACAATTTTCCAATTAAGAACTTTAATTTTGTAAACATACCATCGTAGTACATAATAACATTGTGTATCATTATGCGAAAATTGTTTATAACAAATATCTTAAGAAATGTTTATTTCTAAATATCACAAACGAATAAATTCACAAAATTGGTAAAATTAATATTACACGAAGTATGAACACATAAAAATATCTTGAACGAATTTATAGACCACCAAATAAAGTAGACATGTAGACTAAACATAGATATTCCATATATTGAAACCTAAATTATTTACAAAACCAATTTGAAATAATTATATATGTACTCATTTGGTAAAAAAAAAATCGTAAAATATAAACATCGTATTGTTCGTTTCTACTTTCGTTTTAGAAGATTGCTTCATTTTACAATTCTTGAATAATTCATAAGATATTAGGTAAAATTAAAGGCTTATTTGAGACATATGACATTTAAATCAAATGCTGATCTTATTGTAAAACTCTCGCCTATATAACAACCGACCTTGATGAAAATAGTTAGCATATATCTAGACCCAGTACCTACTTGTTTGGTATATTTCGAAAGTGTCACAGGCAGAAAATATTTACAGCAACTCATTTTTAATAAACGCAAAAATATTTTCTTTGTAATACGATGTAGTAGGTAAATTTTTCCTGGTACTTCTCCTTTAAACGTAATTTTATAATTTCATGTAGGTGTTTAGTAATCTTTAGGTAATTTCTACTAGTAGTAAATCTACTTTAGGTATCTGTGATTATCATTTGAAGGAAATATATTATATTTGATATGAGTTGAAAGTTATTTGATTTCTGACTAAAATTATCAATTATATTATTAATAACTTGATATAGAAAGTGATTCTGGATTTAGTGATTTGATTTTGTAGAATTTATATTTCATTACAAATAAAAAAACACTGATGTTGTTTAGTCCAACCATAAAAAATAATTGTTGTGTATTTACTATAAATAATAATAATAATTAACGTTTAGTGAAAGACACCATATTGATAGAAATTATTCGACTCACATAAAACAGCTATAAAATGAATGTAAAAAGGTGATCACATCAATATTGCATGTACCATTAGCATCTTCTTCAGTGAAAGTTGTTTTCTCTCAAAATAAAAGAATTCACAGTTTCTTCTTCAATTTTACAGGGGACCTTCTCGTTGATAGTGGAGGCATGGCATGGAAATGAAACATCACATTCTGCCGGTGAGTAGAACATCATTTTCAAAACTATCGCACAATGGGAAAAATAATATTTTATATTTTTAATAAAGTAGTGCCTGAGTAGCAATCTTTGTAAATTGCATTGCGTGATTGTAATGTACCCGTTTCCATTTCTCAGATGGTTATTGTTTCAGTTATAGCAACGTGGAAGTAAACTTGGATCCTAATTAAATATATAAAACGCAATCGTTTACGATTTTAACTCTTCCGCTTTTGCCATTTAGAACAATCACTATTAACAATAATAATAATAGCATATCTCTCAGATTAAACGGCATTACTTGTTAGTATTAGTAAGGACATTTTGCTTTCATATTGCATATAACCTTACCTTGATCTTCACTTATGATTCTATATCCTCTTGATCAAAAGTATGTGAAAGAGTAATAAATCAATGTTAGTAGCTTTTTCAAGAGATGTGTACTTTAGGTATGATAAATGGAATTCGGCGTTTTTCCTAGTAGTCGTGGAAGTTGCATATGGAATATTATTTTAAAATAAATATTTTCAGTAATACCGAGCTTGTTTGTCAGTAATTAATATTAGAAATATTCTAAAATATATAGTATAAATTATTATATTAATTGTACAAGAGCTAAGTGAATAGAATATTATATATTGAGATTAAACAGGAACCATTTAAACGATCAAAAACTTGAGCATTATCTTTAAATGAAATTGTTATGTACTCATATCGTTGATTCCGGCTGCAAGTATTTTGTTGTAGAATGAACTGGTTCTGTGAAGTATGTTATCAAATTCACAATTTATTAAAAGACGTAAATAAAGTAGATTGTGTTTACTTGATGGATGACATTCTGAGGCTTCATAAAATTGTATTGAATAAGCCACGGACTATTCGAAATGCTCTAGAACGACATTATGGAAACGTTGGAAAGAAATTGGTGTTAAGTATAACAACACAGAAACACAGTAGAACATTATTATTGATGGACCAATAGAAAACCGAAATCTTTATTTTACTTATTCAGTATGTTCCCAAATACACGTCGCTGTTGTCTACTAAGAGTCTGTACTTTATTTCATAACAATGAAGATATTTTCAGTATATATGTTAATGAAACTACCCGCATAATGAAGAAACAATTTTTGTATAAAATATGACAGTTTTACTTTAAATTTCGTGATTTTTCTTGGATACTTAATAAATTCCCAGGCGTTATTGTTTAGACTTTAATATATCATCATTATTTCTCTTGTCCGTCATTACCTGTCATTATATGTATCCTATATGGTTTTTATTATTTCTTGTCCTGTACATTTCAACTTTTCCCCATATTCTTTTGATTCATTCAATTATTAAATTATAAATTATGACAGTTTTACTTTAATTTCGTGATTTTTCTTGGATACATAATTCCCGGGCGTTATTGTTTAAGTCTTTAATATATCATCATTATTTCTCTTGTCCATAATTACCTGTCATTATACGTATCCTGTATGTTTTTTTATTATTTCTTGTCCTGTATATACTTACATTTCAACTTTTCACAACTTTTCCTTATATTCTTTTGATTCATTCAATTAGTAAATTTCTTGATAACAATACTTTGAAATAGAAAAATTTCTACCTCTATATTCATCAATTACATAAAACACTAATACCTATGTATTAATTACGTGCCGATTATAGTACCTAATTGTTCTAATTGATTAAAAGATCATTCGTCTTTTTCGTTTTCGGGTAGGAAAAATTTGAGATAGAAGGTAATATGTGTAACAATGCCCTACTAAATCCAATCAATAGTTGTTGGCATTAGAGTTACTGGGTGAATAGTGTGTATATAAGTTGAACTTATCACTTGTACTGATCGATCAATAATCGTTAATGTTTGATGACTTTCTAGCAGGTTTTGTGAAGAAAAAGCATACTTTAGATATGATTATAGTGTAAAGAAAATTATTGAAACACGGAAATCAAGGAATATTAATTGATAAATTGTTATGTACGAAACCATTTCCACTCTCTGAGAATAAAAACTTTCTGTAATAAATATTGTTGATGGAGAGGTGAATCTATTTTTAAAACATATGATTACTTGTATAATATGATTCCGATAACGTTTGTTATTTCCGAAGTATTAAATTGTTTACGAAAAGGCTTGCTTCTTCCCGTCGTCGTAATATTTACCTCACTTACGTATCAGCCGTGTGAATCATTCCTGGAACTTTTTATATCATATCCGAGTTACATATACGAAAACAGACTATGCACTAAAACTAAATAAATATCCAACCATATAGCACGGTGTAAAAAGCCACATGTATAGCAGCTGTCAACTCTTAACTTACCAACAAAACCAGCCCTCTTCCTGATAACCTAAAAGGCTCTTCCGCTTCAACTGATATTTCCACTACGTTTTCCTTTATAACTAATCTTCGATACCAAAACGCCGTCTTTTGCAGACCACTGAATTTATTTTATAAACGACATTTATAAAAGCATTTGTAATTGAATTTAGTTGAGCTTTTAAAATAGGATTCATCTTTTCTTCTTCCGTACGCTAATTACTTCAAAGATGAAGTTTAACAAACTTTCTAAAATTAATTATTTATTAAATAGAGACGTAAATGTTTATTTGTTCCTCGAGTAATTGTTCGCCAGTTATTAGAGTGTTTAGTTAATTAATTATAAATTAAGTAAAAAAACATTAATATAGTTCAAAAATAGATTAATAGAATAATTATAACATATACATATTTATTATTTATATTTCTGATGATCATCTATTCGTCAACAACAACATAAAATCCAAAATAAATCCTAAGTTTGAATTGGAATTCGTGAGCTGGCTATTTGATCAGTATTGGACTTACGAGTCAGTGATCCTTACCGAAAAGTTTTAAGATGCTAGAATACCGAATTTATAGCGTTTGTTTTTCTAGAGTTTACTTTGCGATTATCTGTCTGTTTGTTGGCAATGTTTACTCCTGTTCTAGTTCTGGTTTGTATAGAATAGAGCAGTATTACTTTTTTTCCCATTTTCCTTTTATTTTACCGTTCATAATCAGCTGCAATAACTCTTACTTTTCATTTCTAAGTATATGGCCCAGATATGCTGTCTTTCTCCTTTTAATGGTGGTCAAAATTTCTCTGTCTATTCCTATTCTGTGCAACACCATGTCAATCGTTATATGATGGTATTTTTAAAATTGTCCTAAAAAGCCAAATCTCAAAACCTTCCAGCTTTCTCATTAAGTCAACATTAACAGTCCAAGCTTGCACCATAAAGAAGAATAGAGTGGATATAATATTTTACCATCCGATATCGGATTTTCAGATTGAGTCTTTGGTTACTCAGAAATTTCCTCATCTTCAAAAAGACTCCTCTTCATTTATTTTGTCCACTTGTTCAATATCTTCATTTTTATGTGGATCCTTGTAACTTTACCCCTCTTACTGATAACCATGGTTTTTGTTTTTATTATTATTGTTAAAGAAAACTGTTCCTCGGTATCAAAAATTGTGTTTAGTAGCGTATGTAGATCTTTCTCACTTTCGGCAATAATGACTGTATCGTAGGCCTCACGAATGTTATTTATATTATTTATATGTAATTTATCTTGATCCCTTCTGTACAGTTTTCAAGTGCTTGTGTAAAATATTTTTGTCGAATCCTTTTCGCTTTAGACATTCCATGAGAATGTTATGTTTAACTTTGTCTACCTTTATTACGATTATTATTTATAATAAAGTTATACTTTTTTTCTATATTTTGTAGTTGCAGGTTTTAGTTTTGTCATTTCTCTTTTCCACATAACTCGATCTTTGTTTGTTTTACTAGGATTATTAGTTTACAATAAAGTTAAACCAATTGTTATATTCCGTAGTTATTTTATTGTTAACTATAATTTTTTACGAGAATACTGTGATAAAAAATCACAAACAAATAACTAAACAATTTTAAGTTTAAGTTTCAAATTCGTTCAAAACGTTATAATCACAAAACGACGTATTCATTTTGCAACTTATTTTTAGATGGTTTAATAAAAAGCCATGTTTATTCATACAGGGTCTAACAATAAGGCATTCAAATTTTATGTTTCGCCTGTACCTAACTTGTCCAGGTGTTGTAACAGTAAAACCGTTCAGCGTTCCCTCGTTCTATTGAAGGCACCCAGTTGACAAAATGATAAATATATTTCAAGCGATCTTCTGACCGATTATTGATAACTTCACTTTAACTTTGTGGTATTTAAACGTTGTTTAAATTCATTTAAAAATGTGTATACAAAGTTTATCGGCAAATATATATTTGTCGTTTCGGAGAAGTTTTTATATGGCGTATAAAAAGCCGCCATGGTGTAACGCATTTTTAACGGTTTTACTTCACAATGGAGTCTCTAAGATCTCTAAATTAAATATCCTAACCGAGACTGGTTCTTTAATTAACAGCCATTCGTTAATTTGAAGGAATACATGCAAAGGCGAGCCATGGTTGAGAAAAGATGGTAGAAATATATAACTTAAATGCCGAGCTGACATAGGACGGCAATTATTTCTGTGACAAAGTGTATATGGTAATTTAATAACCTTGTATGTACAATTGGATACGTAAACTGGTTAGGCCCTAGAAAAATGTCAGCCATATTGTTATTTATTGAACACACAATAATTTTCGTAGTTTTAGAGGTAATATTTACTTCTATATGGACACTTTATTTTATCCGCAACAATGACGGGAATTTCAGATCGAGGAATCGAGTATTTACATTCATTTATTACACAACAAAAGTAATTAATTTCTCTGATAGCAATATTTTCCCAACATAGTTATTTTCTCCGATGCCATTAAATCCGTAAATGTACACTGAAATATCGTGTACAAAATCTAGTGAATATTTTCATCAAAAAAGGAAATGTTTTTTTTACCACGATATCGAAGAATGTTTGTCAAACGCATTTCTTTTCTCTTGATTTTGTTGCTACATGTCTTAACCTACCATTACTATAGTTTTTA